CCAAAATCGGGCCGCCATCCGGCCACCTAAATGTTGACCTTTGCTCATTCTGAAGGGTCGTCGCGGTGACGGCTCGGGGCGCTCGGGTTTACGCTCCGGCGAGGGAAATCGCACGTGGGTTCTTTGCTTTTTTTTTTTTCTCCGTGCCGGCAAGATGATGACAACGCGCACGCCGTCCACCCATTGGCCGGCTCTTTCGAGGAACCTCCTTCCTGAGCGACAGACTTGATCGCTTTCGCTCCAATAATCTCGCACAAATGCCGCGGCGTCCCGGGGCGCCTCGCGCACGCACGCCACGGTGGATCGGACCGCTTTCGACGCCCCTCCGCCCCCGCCCCGAGGTGTACGCTCCCTGGAAATTTGCACGTGATTTCAAGGAATGACGTCCCGCGGCCTGAAAACAAAAGTCAAATGTCAACGTGTTTGATGCCTTGACACCATTTGAAAACATTTCATGAAAACCGAAGAAAAAAACCCCAAAAAGATAAGTCCATGTGGCAAACGCCAGGGTCCTCGGCGGCACTGAAAATCTCACGCGTTGGCTTTCTTTCCACCAACGGAGAAAGCGCCGACCGCCTTGGTTGCGAGATGAGGCGAAAGGTCGGATTTTCCTTGCTTTCACCGTCGTCGTCGTGAGAAAACGTGAAACAAACGTGGTCGCGACTCGTGCCGATGTTTCTACACAGGCATAGATTCTTTATCCCCCCCCAAACGATGACTATTCTTAGCCCCTGCTGGCTGGAGTGCGAACACTCCAAGGCCGCCGAAGTGGCTAACGTGCCGCCGAGCTGATGTTAGCGAGCATTGCCAGGACGCGAGGCCGAAGAAAAGCACCCAAGCCGGCCGGCCGGCATTTCGTCCCTACCTGGCAGAAAATGCCCCCCGGGGGGGAGCTTTGCTTTCCACTCTGCCCCTTCCGAGGTTGCTACGCTCTCCAAATTCAGGCGCGCGTGGGCTACCTCCGGTGGCGCGAGCACACCGCGAGTGCGTGCCGTCGTTGCGGCCGGTGGGGGAAATTGCGGCGCGGATGATGGGGTGCCGTGCGGCGGGCCCGTTACAAGCGGACCGCTTACGGCAGAGCGGCGCCCAGACTTGAACCCACGCGCCCCGCCTTCGCCGAGTGCCGTGCCTTCCCTTCCGTCTGGAACGGAGGCACGACGTCATGGCAACAAACCTTTGAAGCGTCCCCGTAATACATTGACTTAGGTGAGAGTACGCGGGGGGGGGGGGGCTCAAAGGGGGGGGAGAAGCAGGGGGGGGGGGGGGGGGGGGGGCTCAAAGTGGGGGGAGAAGCCCGAATCCTCAGCTCCGTCTGCGTACGGCCCAAATGTAGTGTCGCCCGCACCGTGAGGTCGGGGATGACGACGTCGGGATGAAGCGGCAGCCGAAGAGGGAGGGGAAGAAAAAAAAAAAGAAAAGAAAATGCAGGAAATGAGTTTTTCCTTAGAAGGGGCGGGCCACACCGGATCATTTCGGAAGTCTTCCAACTTCCCTGAGGGATTGAAACGGAGAAGCCGCACACCGTGGCCAAAAACGCAGGCGGGCTGCTCTTGGCCGCGCCACTTTTGGGTTTTTTCTCTCTCCTGCACGCATTTCTTGCCGGGCTCCCTTCCCAGCAATCGGAAACCGTTGTTAGCTTGGGTGTTTTTTTGCTTTTGTTGTGGGGGGGTTCCACATGACGTGTGTAAACCGCAGGCTTTGACTACCAGAGTTGGTCCATCTTTTTTTTACTTTCCATTTTCACTTTGTCGGGATTGCGTCAAATTGTCAGGGCCGCTGTTTTGGGACAAATTGGATCACACAAAAGAAGAAATAACTCGTTGACTCGCAGCATTCAGCTCGCTAGCTAGTGCTTGCATGCCCGTGAGCTCAAATGTGTGCATGAAAAATGATGCTTTGCTAGCTAGCTAGCTAACAGGAGCGTTTTAGCCACGCAGGCTAGCGAGCTGGCCGAGCGACGAACAGTGGTGAAAACGATCACTTGACTTGAACGCAGGACCAAAAAAAAAGGCAGAAAGAAAGAAAAGAAAACGGGCAAGATAGTTGCAAAAGTCAGGGAGGTCATGGTGCTCTCGCGGCATCGTTCATGGCGTTCACGTGGTGTTCAAAGTTCAGCGTGAAAAATAGCGGTTGACTGTTTTTCTCAGGCGTCTGCTCTCTCGTCGCCTTTTCTTGTTTTTTTTCCCCCCTCCTCTTTTTCTGATGTGTAATTTGGGACTTTTTTTCTCTCATTTTCCGCTGCAGCCTACCGTTGCCTTCGCTTTGATTTTGTAGACCGCGCGTATGCTTTGTTATCGGTATTCGATTTCGGACGTCCACACATTCATCAAATGTGTATGATTGTCACATTTGTCTGCGTTGCTCATATCGATGGCGCCATTTCTTCTGAGAGTGACTTAGTTCCAGTTGAAATGCCGCCTGAGCCGGCCTCGGCTCGTCTTGAGCTCTGGAAGCGTTGCGTGCCGTGCCCCCTCTCTTTGCGACCTCGCAAATGCTCACCGACCGTCACTCGGGCTCGTGTCCGCGTAATGCATCAAGGAAAAAGGGGGGGGGGGTGGAAAATAAGCCAGGCGCTTCTTCGTTTTGGGGTTTGTTTTGCGTTTGGGCCAATTGGATTTCAAAGCTGAAAGTCAAGGATCCCAAGTGGGCTTTTGTTTGATTGATCGTCACTGAGATAAGATCTGTGTGATTTGCATGTGATCAACTTCATTCTTTTCGGCCGCTTCTTTTTTCAAATTGTTTCTTTTCAGTTCTTTTTTATGTGCGGTATAAGTACAACCCGAGCCTTCTTGGGTCTCTTGAAAGGTCGATACAATCATTGACAATGACCTCACGCGAAGGCATTCCTTATTGTTATTCTTCGAGTCGTCTAAAATCTGTGCGGGGAAAGTCGGCATCGGCGAGGCCAACGCGTACCTCATGTCGTGGCCCGCCTGCGCTGCGTTCATGTGCATCCATAATGTGGCTCGCTGCATATTCATGCGCTCAAACTCTTGTGATTTGTGCATCTTTCACACACACACACACACACACACACAAGACTTAATAGAGCAACACAAGCAGGTGAGCGTGTGGCGTGGCTTGCGCATGACTTGGTTTGCACGCTTTAAAGCCTTCATTGTCCAGTATTTCCCCAAATCGGGACCGCAACACAAATGAAAGTTGAAAAGGAAGTAAAAGGACTCCAAATGTACTCCCATTTTTTTTCCCCAATGCCCACAACATAACAGGAGGATTTTAGGATGAGGGGAATTGGTGAGTGACGCCTGAGATCAGAACAGGTAGGTGAAGCTGCAAGATGACCCCAAGAACAAAAGTGGGCCCATTAGTCGAGGAAAGTGTTTTAGCACCTCCGCTCCCCCCAAAACGTACCAGTGTGGGGTGTTTTCTGAGGAAAATGACGGTGCCACAAAACGCGTTCATTCGGAAGCTTGTAGACGATCGAGCAAAATGTGACCATTGAGGACATTCTTGCTGCAGCTATTCATTAGGATTTGTCACTTGAACTACTTTTTACACCTTGTCTAGAATTTGTGGCCACAAAGTGAGTCTAATTCGTGTCATCCCCCCCTTTTTTTTTTTTTGTGGCTGGAAATTTGAGCATACCTTCTCAGGCTTTCACATAATGCGGCCCCAATTGAACATTTTGCGCTCACGTTGTCTCGACGTCATCATGTCTTGGGCTCGCAAGCATTGTGATGAGTACCCCGTTGTTTGTTGCTTTCTTTTGCTTCCTGTTTTATTTGTCAACACACTGACCTCTTTCTTTGTCTCTCTCTCTCTTTCTCGCCAACCCCCCCCCTCCCACCACCGCACCCCCGCGTTGCGTGTTACATCATCACGCAATGGCTGTCCTCTCGTGGCCCAGTGAACTCGCTGCGAGCGATGCACCGATTTAGCTGCTATCCTACACACACGTACACACGCAGTCACGGAAGCGGCAGACGAGCGACGGCGACGGTCTTCGAACGGAAGCAAATACATGATTGTTCATATCATCCGGAGGATTGAATTGGAAAGCGCGTGTTCCAAATGTCCCGACAAATGCGGACGGATGTGAGGGGGGAAAAAAGAGGCCACGGCGGCAAGTATCGCGTGACGGTGGGTGCACCTTTTATTGTCGAGAGCGTGACAAGGGTCGCGCCCCCACCGCCACACTTGTGCGCATGCCCCGAAAGGTCGGACGTGAACGTCCAAAAAAGATGAACGATGTGGAATGAGCAACCGTCACAATGGCGGAAAAGCAATTCAAGAGCGAGAAACCTTGAAGGAGTGTGCACAAGCGTCCAGCATTTGTCGAGTGAAGCCAATTATATTTGAACAATTAAACTCCTATATATATATCGATATATCTATATATCTATATAATATAAAATCTTTTTTTAACTGAACACGAGCTTCTCCAGGTTCTAATGGCAAATATGAAAAATATTAAATATGGCATCCATTCATACTGAAAAGTACAAATGGTCTCATGTTTCTCATCTTTAAAAAAAAATCATGAAAGCAACGAAGCACCGAATGGCTCGATATTTATGCACATGACTGTTTTTTTTTAATTGGTGTTAGAGGAATTTTTTAAAAAAGTCTGTCTTCTCACGGGCTTTTCATTGCAAAACAGAATTTATTCTCTCCTCGTAAAAAGAAGTTGTGTAAAAATATCACACTTTATTTACATTTCGTCGTAGCCCCCAAAATGTACATTTATTTATTTATGACTGAAATAAACACACTGCATGTAATAAACGTATGACTTATTTTTTAACTCTGTTTTTATTACAAAGTTTAAAATCAAAAACGTGTTCAAATGATCAAAACTATGAATAATAATTAGAAAAGAAAGGTGTTTGACACATTAATACATTATTATTATTATTATTATTATTATTCTCAATTACACGCGCTTTTGAACAAAACTAAAAAAAACATCCAAAAACCCAACACGTGATCATTTCGAGCAATTCGTCCTGAGATTGTGGCTGGAGGAGACAAAGTCCAAACATCCTGATTTTTCCAAAAATAAGAGGAAAGGTGAACATGAAATATCCTCTCAAATCGCGTGAACGCGCGCGCCACGCGCGCTCGCTACAGTAAACGTACAAAAATAATTCTCCTACCTTTCACCGAGGGGCCCCGTTTATTTGTTCGTTTGCGTTTTGTTCGTTCGTTCGAGTCCCGTTTAACAGCCGCCGGCGGTGAAGTTTTCCAGCGGGTGCAAGACGGCCGAGGGCGGCCGCAGCGAGGCGGCCATCGCGGGCACCGCGACGGCCGGGGAAGTCCTGGAGGGGCTCGGCGAGCCGCCGCCGATGATGCTCTCGATGGAGAAGGGCGAGCGGTGCGCCGGCGAGTCCGATTTGCGCGCGCCGGCCGGCGAGCCCTGCGGCCCGGCGCCCAGGGACGGGTAGAAGCGGCCCCGAGGGCGCTCCGCGGAGGGCGGCAGCGAGGCGGCGGGCAGCGCGGTGCCGCCGTGCCGGGCGCTCTGCTGCTGCCGCTGCTGCTGCTGGAAGGCCAAGAGAGCCGAGTGCGTGTGGTAGGACTGCAGCGGGAGGCCGTAACCCGCGCAGCCGTAGCCCCCGTAGCCGTAGGCGGCGGCGGCGGCGGCCGCGGCGGCCGGCAGGAAGCCGCCGTGCTCCCGCAGCAAGTCCTGCGTCTGCTGCCGCTTGAAGCGCTTCCTCCGCCGCAGGAAGCTGCCGTTGTCGAACATGTCCGCCGACTCCGGGTCCAGCGTCCAGTAGTTGCCTTTGCCCGGGTTGCCGGGCTCGCGCGGGATCTTGACGAAGCAGTCGTTGAGCGACAAGTTGTGCCGGATGGAGTTCTGCCAGGCGGGGAACTTCTCGCGGTAGTAGGGGAAGCGGTTGCTGATGAAGTCGCAGATCTCGCTGAGGGTCAGCCGCTTCTTGGGGCTCTGCAGGATGGCCATGGTGATTAAGGCGATGTACGAGTAAGGCGGCTTCACCAGCGGGTTCTTTCCAGCCGCCGACGCCGCCTTGTAGGCGTCCCGCCCCGGCTCCGCGGCGGCCGCGCCACCGGCGTCCGACCGATGAGGATGCGGTGGCTGGGTCGGAGGTGAGCCGCGCCCGCGCCCGCGCTCTGCCTCCTCCCCCACCCCCTCGCCCACCACGTCGATGTCGGTCTCTTCCGAGAGGACCGAGGCGTCCGACATCTCGGAGCTCAGAGTCATGGCTCCCCTCTCACGCCCGGCCGCGTCCGCCGGGGCCAGTTGAGGAAGCGCCGCCGTGCCCCCCTCCCTCGACGAGACTCATGCGAGGAGGAGGAGGAGGAGGAGGAGGAGGAGATGCGGGAGGGGTGGAAGAGGAGGAGGTCGAAAACCGATTGCATCCCGGAGGGGGCGGGCCGGCCGGCGCTAATTATATGGGGCCGTCGCTCACGTGACCTGCGTACGTCACACTGGACGGCCAAAAAACGGCCAGAGGAAGAAAGTGGCCCTTCTCTTTTGGTTGGAATTCACTTTGTATTCTCATTCACGGGCATTTAGTGGTTACTTTTTGAAAAATACTTTGTTGACTGTATGGTCACCCCGCCCCCAAATACTACTACTACTCCTACGCATCACAATAAGAACGTTGTGGTTGTGTATGCCGGGCTCAAAAAAAAATAAGAATAAAATTTGGAACATTTCTGTCTCACAGATTTCAACATCCCAAAGGACATCGTTCTTTAATTAACAATACAAATGTGAAAACATTCAAACTCCCCGAATCCCACCAGATTAATTCATGAAAGAAAAAAATAAAAGCAACAACACAGATGGGGTTTTTTTATGGAGACTCGTTTTTTTGTTTCATTGCGTTACAGATTTCAAGAAATGCCACGAGGGGGAAAAACATGTTTGGATGGAGCAAAACACATGTAAGACAAAGTGGTTAAGATTGCGCGACTGTCCGTGTTTTGATGTTCTCTGTTGCGTTTATTGTTGGACTCTATGTTACCTGTTTTGTTCGGCGCTTTGTTCCAGCTGCAGCTGTTGTCAAATTGCTATCTCAATCACAATGTATTGTATTGTATTGTAAAGCTTACGAGATTCTTGGCAAATGTCGATTTGGAATGAAGTGTTCAATTTAGTGATGAATTTGTGGGAACTTTTCATCGGTAAAATACAGATACCCCCCCCAAAATAATCGAAACGAATGACTTTTGTTAACGCAAATATCTAAAATGCCATTATAGAAGAAACAATTGCAAATACATCAAACCCGTAAGGAACGACGTAGTTTACACGAGTTTAATGGAAAATAACAAATACAAGCAAAGTACCACAAAAATAAAATTACACGCAAAAAAAAAAGCAAAAAAGGTGTTGACTTCCCGCACACAAAGTAAAACAGCTGAAAGCAAGTGCTGCAAGCAAGTCAATTTGAACATCAAATATTAATAAAGAGCAAAACACATGTAAGACAAAGTGGTTAAGATTGCGCGACTGTCCGTGTTTTGATGTTCTCTGTTGCGTTTATTATTGGACTCTATGTTCACTGTTTTGTTCAGCGCTTTGTTCCAGCTGCAGCTGTTGTCAAATTGCTATATCAATCACAATGTATTGTATTGTATTGTAAAGCTTACGAGATTCTTGGCAAATGTCGATTTGGAATGAAGTGTTCAATTTAGTGATGAATTTGTGGGAACTTTTCATCGGTAAAATACAGATACCCCCCCAAAATAATCGAAACGAATGACTTTTGTTAACGCAAATATCTAAAATGCCATTATAGAAGAAACAATTGCAAATACATCAAACCCGTAAGGAACGACGTAGTTTACACGAGTTTAATGGAAAATAACAAATACAAGCAAAGTACCACAAAAATAAAATTACACGCAAAAAAAAAAGCAAAAAAGGTGTTGACTTCCCGCACACAAAGTAAAACAGCTGAAAGCAAGTGCTGCAAGCAAGTCAATTTGAACATCAAATATTAATAAAACCGAGCGGCTTAATTAAATTTTAAGAAGGATACGTTAGCACGTATCCTTCTTAAAAACAAACATGCCTTGCAGCGCCTCCTCTGTGTTTTGACAGCCTGCCCAGTACAGTACAACAAAGTAATTTCCACGCAAGACAAAAATGATGTCGTCGTCCCCCCCTCCCTCCTCCTCCTAAAAAAACAAAAAAACCAAAGTGAATGAGTGAAAAGCATCGGAGTGATGTCGAGCGCGCAAGGAAGCAATTGCCTGCCTCGAAGCTGGCGGCCGTGCCCGAGTCGCTCGATCGTTCTCTCCGTTCTCCGCCATGCAGCCACTTGGAATTGCAGTCAGCTGTTAACTCGCGTCAGTCACGGGTCTCACACACACACACACACACACACACACACACACGCGCGCGCGCTGGCCCACGCCCATCGCGGCGTGAACAGCAAGAAACAACAACATTTGTATGAATGACATTTGAATGTCAGCAGCAAGAAACACGCTCGCTGCTCAAACAAAACAAAGATTGCAGTCAGTTTTTTTCCTAGCCCTGCGAGTTGGAAGTGACAATCGAAAGCGAAAAGCGGTTCAAAATAATACAACAAACGATTGTCACGGTGGCCCGACAAATAGACAATTCCTGTTTTACGAACACATTTTGCCTTTCATAAAACTCTTTGAGCACATCGTCGTGAATTGTGGTGAATTTCTCCATTGATTTTTTTTTTTGTGGGGGGGGGTCGGCGTTCTTGTGCAGATCCAACTGAACTTTCAAGCGCTTTCGTCTTTAGTCCGACGCCCTCTATAGGCCGATTTGGAGACGACACCTCCACTTTGGAGGCACCCGTTCGTACAACGTTGCTTTTTTTCTTAACGCGGAGCACATTCAATTCAACTGTGAACGTTGACGTAGATTTATATAGGTGCACACGACGCAGTATTTCAGGACTGCTTCGTTGTATTTGTGTTACATCCCTACGCGGCGGACTGGATGTTTTTCCTCCATCTTGTAAAATGAAAAGAAAAAAAACTCATATTTGGAGTACCTAGTGAATCAAAAATTTTATATTCTGGATACTCACGTTGAACGCGCGCACTCTCGAGAAGCAGTTGTGCCTCAACTGAGTGAACCTGGACGCAATAACCAAGGAAAAACGTTTTCGATTTCCTAGGTTGAAAAAAACTTGATCATATATATATATATATATATATTTTAAATGTGTTAACAAAGATACATTCCAGAAACGAATGTCATTTGGAGGAGAAAAAAGTTTAATTTTTGGTCACAGTTTCTTTTCATGGGGGAAAAAACTCTCTGAAAGCAGACGGATGTTCTCCTCTCTTCATTTGACGCAAGCAAAAATGTACACAAGTTGCTTTTATGATAAACGTTCCAAATACAGGAGAGCAAGCATGCACTGGGTGGTCGTGCTACTTTTCCCGTTTTTATTTCGCCCTTGTGTGTGTGTGTGTGTGTGTGTGTGTGTGTGTGTGTGTGTGTGTGTGTGTGTGTGTGTGTGTGTGTGTGTGTGTGTGTGTGTGTGTGCGCGCGTGTGTGCGTGTGTGCGTGCAGTGTAAGACGTTTTGAAACGTGGCTACATTAAGCTCTTAAAAATGAACACAGCACAATGTCAAATGAAACGAAGTTCAACAAACAATTCAGCCATCGCACTCTAGATAAGAAATACAAGCCGTAAATTATTATAATTATTATCGTTGTTATTATGACTTATTTTATCAGTTGGTCTCTTTTTTTTTTTTGCCTTCAAATCACGCAGTGACAAAAAAAATCCCTGCACAAAAATGTCACCCCAAGCGCCCTGTCTGAGGGCCATGTGATTTGTGGTGTGTTTCACATGGTTACGCGCACACCCCTGTGTGTGCAGACGAGTGAAAGCACCAACCAAAAAAAAAAAAAAAGGCAGGTTATCGCCCTAACTAGCGATCGTCATCGGCTCGTTTTGTCTTCACGGCCTCCAAGTGTTTTCCACACACATGTGACTTGGGTACTTGTGTGTGGGCGACGGCGCAACTCGTTCTGTCTGACGCGTGCACATTTTGAGCATGACGTCTCTGATGCACTGGTGAAAGGACACTTTGATTCTGCCCTCTTTCATCTAGAACTGCTTCAAACAAAGCGTATGAGGGAAAAGTGGTCAAGATTGCACGACTGTCCGTGTTTCTTTCACGTGTTGTGTTTCTTATGATATTTTATGTTAACTGTTTTGTTACAGGTGCAGCTGTTGTGAAAGCGCAACATAAACCAGGATGTATTGCATTATATTGTATTGCAAATTGGCCTCTTGGCAGGACTTCCCGGCTGGTGATACGAGGATACGACAAACAAAGTTTCACCGGGGATGCTTTAAGTGCACTATTTCACTTATACCAAAGCTCTGTACTTGTGAATAAATACAAGAAAGATTGAAGTCAGAGAAAATCTTTCTAAATAACAGTGCAGTTTGATTGGCAAACCTAACGGTGGTCGCATGGAGCTTTTTCTTTAAGTGTACGTCCCCTCCATCAGAAACGAATGCAGCCCCAACATACGCATTTATCCACGCCACAGCATCTCGGTGCCAAGGCGCTATGTAGAAGTGAGGGAAGGGGCTTCAATTCATCTCGTCATAACCTCATCTTAATACAACTGCAGTTTTGCCGCTATCTTGTGGCATCTATAGGCGATTATAGTAGAGGAGTCAAAAAAATTGTACTCACAAATACTACTCCTTGTGAATATTGTGACACAACTAAAAGTAAAAGTAGTCCTCCATATAAGTATTTCAGTGAGGGCAAGGGTCACTAGTGATTTTTTTTTTTTTTTTGTAAATCAGAGAATAAACGGCAAAAAGACAAAAGTATTAAAATAGGAACAAATTGCAGATAACTACAATAAGAATTTGCAAATTGACAAAATTAAAAAAGGCAAATTCAATCGTGTTAAATAAACGAGTCACTAAAAATTCGCTTCTGTGTGGGAGGGCCTAGTGAGGTGCGATTTGAGGTCATGTGACTGCCTGACTTCGTTTGATTGGACACGTGGACGACGTGACGCGAGTCTTGACAACCCACAATCAATTCCCGCAAGCGGAATGCAGCTTATAAAACGGAGTCAAATTACCGTTTCTTCTTCACAAAAACGCTGAAAGTGAAAGTCAAAGGTATGGAACATCAAAACTACTCTAACAATTAGAAGTCAATGTATTGCATATGAATGGAGACATGCAAGCGTTGAACCTATTCCTTGCCTACGCATTAGTGTATTGGGACCACAGAAGTTATTTTAACTTGTACATCGAACCTGTGAAACTAAATAGAGGGAAAAACAATTTGACCGTCACTTTTTTTTTTTCCAAGAACGTCACTTCCGTCTTCCTCTTTGGCGTCCATCTTGGACTCCGCATGTGTCTGCTGTTAGCTTACAGGTGAGTGCGGAGCTTTTCGATCCCTTGTCAACCCCCGACCCCCACCCCTCAGACTCGACACAACGTCTGCGAATCTGGGTCCGGGTGTGTGGAAGCCCTCTTGAGATGAGGAAGGGCGGACGCTGCAGTTAGTTGCCGCCTGTTGCCCGTCGCTTGGCGGGGGGCGGCTGAAAACTAGCATGCGAGCTGACGTTAGCCGACGACTTGGCGTTCTCGAAACACAGCCGCACCTTTAAAAAACATCCATTTTACACGATGTCGTTATTTTGACTTTTCTGATTCATCAATGGGGATTGGAAATTAACTGTGTTGTGGTTTCTGCGAGTGGAACGATTTAGCGTCCAAGTTAACCTTTAACAAAAGCTTCGGGCGGAAGTTTACGGTGACATGCCGCGTTCATAAAGTTGACATTTGAACTTGTTGCGCAAAGTGATGTTGATCAATTCGGAAATGTGTGACCGGCCTGAATAATCGCTTGTCAATTCCTTTGAATGGCGCAGTCCATGTTGCTTGTTGCCATTTGTTTGGTTCGTGATCTCGTTTGAGATGCGTCCAACTGAGGAATATCCTCGCACTGCGTATTGCAATATCATGCGGGACGCCCGCCAAACGATGTTGAGCCACAATCAAACCTAATATTTTCAAGACAAAAAAAATGTTGTTTTTGAAAGACAGGCACCCGCGAAATGAAAGCCTTTCACCACGTTGTGCAAGGTGATTGATCCGGTTGGGTGAAAGCCAGCTCCTGCTGCCACCTGTTCTGTTGACGACTCGTTTCATGTTTGTGGTACTTCCCACCCCACAGATGAAAGAAGCAATAATGAATCAAGAGAAATTGGCTAAGCTGCAGGCGCAGGTCCGCATCGGGGGAAAGGTAAGGCACACCCCCCAAAAAACATTTCTCTTTGTCGTCATGCGTGTAAAGAGAGTTTGCGCCTCGGGTATTTTTAGGGCAGCGCTCGGCGAAAGAAGAAGGTGGTGCACAGGACGGCCACGGCGGACGACAAGAAGCTGCAGTTCTCGCTGAAGAAGCTCGGCGTCAACAACATCTCCGGCATCGAGGAGGTACGAAAGCCGCCCCCGGTAACCCCGAAAAATCCCAAGTGAGCCGGCGCGCACCTTTTGGCTTTTGGCAGGTGAACATGTTCACCAACCAGGGCACGGTGATCCACTTCAACAACCCCAAAGTGCAGGCGTCTCTGGCCGCCAACACCTTCACCGTCACGGGCCACGCCGAGACCAAGCAGCTCACCGAGATGCTGCCCGGCATCCTCAATCAGCTCGGAGCCGACAGCCTCACCAGCCTCAGGAGGCTCGCCGAGGCCCTGCCCAAGCAAGGTCCCGCCGCCGCGCCTCTCCATCCTTCGCTGTACATGTCAGGGCCCAAGAACTTTTTGACATTTTTGGACTCATCCCATTCCCATATGCGGCAGAATAAAAGTCTGCAGACCCTTGGGTCGAGACCCCAAAAAAAAAAAAAAAATGGCAAAAGGAGCTGAACACCATTGACTTGTTTAGCGTAAACCCCCGAATGTGAATGCGTTGAATATTGAATGTTGTTCCTTTCTTTTCCTGGAGCCACAGATGGCAAAGCGCCCATCGCCACCGTCGAAGAAGAAGATGACGACGACGTGCCAGGTCAGTTGCTTTTTCTCTTTGAGTGACTGAGAACCACAAGGAACCAAAACGGGTCCACAGTTTGTCTTTTCAGCAACGCTGTGGCTATTCCACTCAGGTCCTTGGGGTGGTGCTAATGTACATCGGATACGAGCGGGTTGCTAATGTTATCATCCAGTTCGGACAAAAAAAAAAAAAAAAACAATTCTGAGGAATAGTTGGAAAAAAAAAGGGCCAACTGATTGGTGCACCACCGACGC